GAGAGAGAGAGAGAGAGAGAGAGAGAGATACTGCTCTGGGTTTTAAGCTATATTTCCTGGGCCCTCTCCAAGGTGCTGAAACATCTCCTCCCCCCCCCCGTGGGTTCAGGACCATAGATAGCTCCTTTTATAAGTTGACTGGCCCCAGTTAATAAATGTGCACCATCAAACTGATTTCGATTTATGTTGACCCTTTCCAGGGTTTTCCTGGAAGAAAAAACTAAGGAACGGTTTGCCATTCCCTTCTTTTGGGAATGCTCTGGTATCATGTACAATATCTTGGCCCCGACCAGACAGGCTGGTTCTACTCATAGGAGGTACAGTAGGGGATCAAACTCCCAAACTTTGGCTCCACAGCCAGAGACCTAACTCTCTGAGCTACTGGCCTCAGGAATGGAAAGACACCGACTCTGGAGCAGGCAGGCAGATCAAGTGGTCACTGTCTTCCCCACTTAGGCGAGAGACATCTCATTCTTTTAGGTTCTGCAAATTATTCCTATTGGTGCATAGAAATCTGTGCATGCAGCTTTACATAAACAGTTGTCCTCTGCTTTTGTATGATGAAGGTTCACTTTTGGGAAGAGGTATAAATGGTCACCCTGCATTAAAGCTGATACGCCGTGCTTTTTCCAAAGTCTCGCTTCACATGGCCATGAGCTTATCCAAACCCAGTCTCTGCTCTGCCTCTGGATCCTATCTAAGGCCTCTGTGGTTCTCAATGGCTGGTCAACAAGACCATTTCACCCTCACCCAGTCCATTCCAGAAACCAGATACTGGTTAAGAAACGAAAGAGCTTCCTTGGATTTAGATGGGAAGGAGAAATGAAGCCTAGTTTTGCTCATATCATGGCATCACCAAACCCGAATGCTCCAGTCAATGTCTCCCACTGATTTCCGGTATATGTTAAATAGCATGGGGAACAGAAAAGAGCCCTGAGCACCACCCCCACTGGCCAATGGCCAAGTCATTGAGCAGGAGTCCTCAGCACCACCCTCTGAGCTTGCCTCACCAGGAACGGCTCAAGCCACCATATTACAATGCTGTGGAGCCCCATCCCAAAGGATAATCCCACTGGTGAAGGCAATTAAAGCCACAGAGAGGTCCAGGGGAACCAAAAAGGACAGACGCTGTCCATCCAGTTCCCTGCATAGACAGTCCACCAAGCCAACAAAGCTGCCTCCGTCCCATAACTGCATTTGGATCAGATTGGGCTCACCTAGAAATGTGCCTTGTTCAGGCAGCCCTGGAGCCAAGAAACCACCACAGGCTCCAGGAGGACCTTTCCCGAAAAGGCCTATTGGGGACTGGCCAATAATTGTCCAATACAGTCAAGGCCCAGGAGGGCCGTTTCCGTAAAGCTCCCCTCCTGTTGCTTTTTAAAAGGCAGGCTGGATCCCTGCCTTGCTTTTTTTGGGGGGGGGGCTCTGATATCCCTCTCCTCTTTCCCACTTAGTGAGATCTCCCCAGGTCCTTTGATGAGCCCAAAAGGCCACATTGCTGGAGAGGTGAGAGCATGAGGTGGCTCTCCAGCGATTCTGCCCACCTCCCTGGCCTTGTTGGAGGGACTCTCCCAAGCTCTCAGCAGACAGAGCCCATTGGGGGAGGTGTGATGATGGAGGGTGCCGCGGCTGAGCCATCCATCCTGATATTTCATGTTGGGCCACTGACTCCTGGCATGGGGGACTCAGAGCCATTTTGAGGGATCGTGAGCAAAAGCTTCAGGACGAGCTCAGCAGCACATTTCGAGGCGATTAGAGCTGACAGTTATTGCATCTAATTAACAAAATCCCTGCTTATTGGGAGGGGAAGATATTGGGTGAGGTTTCAGGAGAGAAAGGAGCTGTAAAGGGATTGATTGCCACCGTGGCAGGGTCTCTCTCTCTCTCTCTCTTTCTGTGTGTGTATGTGTTTTCAGCTGGCTCATGGAAAATGAAGGGTTCTGTAAAGGGATTGATTGCCACCGTGGCAGGGTCTCTCTCTCTCTCTCTCTTTCTGTGTGTGTATGTATGTGTTTTCAGCTGGCTCATGGAAATGCAAATGAAGGGTTAGGGTCAGGAGAAGATATCAGAGCCTCTGGCCATTCTAGGCTCCCTTGTTCCCTAGGGGTGTCAGGGTTGGGGGTGTGTGCTGAGGAATCGTCATCTCCTTCTCCTTCTCCTGTCCTGCCCTGCCCAAGGAAAGAAGCACTGGTTTAGAAAGGAATGTGAGAGTCATTTGCAGAAATATGGAGCCCAGGTAGAGTACCCACTTGCCCATCATGGAAAAAAGGGAATCTAAAAGACAAGATGCCCTTACATAACATGGCACAGGGACAGAGGCAAACATTAAAATGGTTGCTAGGCTGCTAACAAAAATCCAGCACCTGTCCCGGGTGTGGGAAAGCCTGCAATGAGGACGACCCATGTTTCTGTGTCTGCGCATGTGATGGGAGTTGTTATGCGGTCCAGCTGGGTGGGAAGGGCTGAGCGAAGAGGTGCCGCAACCTGACCCTGTTCTTCAAGGCAAAGGTGGTCAAAGCAGAAGCCACTCCACCCCCCGTGTCACAGTGAGAGAGCAACGTTCCTGGGCCCCTGGATGGGGGCCAGTGAGCTGAGCCTTCCCTCGCCCTTCCTGGGGACAAGAGGGGCTGAAAAGTTGTGGCCCTCCCTCAGCCTCACAGACACAGCAAGGAACCCAAGGGTTAGGGTTTCTGTTGTGAGGACTACAAGTGCCAGAATCCCCTAGCCAAGCTGGGCTCCTGGCGGCCTTGGCTGGGAGAATGCTGGGAGCTGCAGGCCCTCACAAAGGCTCAGAAGGAGCCCCGACAGCTTTTGTTAATGCACAACCGCATTGGCCGGAGGTGGGGAAGGAAAGGCGAAAGGAGACCGGGCGGCTCATTCTGCCGGTGGTTTCTTCTAAGTGCTGCTTAGTCATCCCTGAGGGGCAGTGAAGAGGGAGCGTGTGGTGGCAGGGGTTGTGTGGAAGGTAGGCATGGCAGACCAAGGTATTCTGCTGCCTGAGGCAGAGCATAGGGTCTCAACCTCTTCCCCCTCCCCATCCGCTTGCCTAATTTGCAGTATATGCCAGCCAGGCAAACGTGTTTTTTCAGGAGGCAGCTTATGGCAGGAAAATTACAATAACAACATGACAATAACAAATCAAATATTAACGTGTTAACCTTTCGTGATACCCACCATCTGCTCCCTGAGGCAATTGCCATCCTTTATTCAGCGACAGAGCCGGCTCTGGCGGGAAGGGCCAGAGGAACGGCGGTCTGCCTTTCACCAGGAGAGGGGTGGGGAGGGCGTCAGCCGCTGACCAAGGGAGCAGAGTCGAGTGATATGTGCCTTTGGGGGGCGGCATTCCCCCTCCAGAATTGCTTGAGAGGTTCTTCTCTCCCCCCCCCTTGCCAATCTGCCACCCCCAGTCCTGGCACCCTCACCAAGCCTCCCCATAGAAACTGGGAGCTGTGCCTGGGGAACGGGCTCATTAGCATCTCATCTGCATTCGCCACACTGACAAATCTGCTCCTCCGAATGTTGAAGCCAAACTCTTATTTTCCGTGGTGATGAGGGGCATCCAGCTGAGAAGGACGCCAGGTCCCCTCTCCATCCCTGGAGAAGAAGCAGGGAGGAGAGAAAGCAGCAGAGAACGGCCTCCCAGCCCTTCCAGTATCCACACACACACACACCCCAGCCAGCGATAAAGTCCAAGCAAAGTTCTCGGCCTCTCTCTGTCTCTCTCCACCACACACACACACACACACCCCCCAGCCAGTGATAAAGTCCAAGCAAAGTTCTTGGCCTCTCTCTGTCTCTCTCTCTCCTCCTCCTCCTCCCCATCACCACAATGCATTAAGCTTAGATCATTTCTTCTTTAGAAACCAACCTTCTGAGAGAGCAGCAATATCTCTAGCACAGAGAGACCGGGGAACTGTCCTTTTGATCGGACCTTTTTGCCTGCTTTTAATATTATTTATAAAAGAGAGCCCCAGAATTCATTCTCTTTTTGCCGTGAAAGCCTTTCTATTCTAGAACAGAAATTTCCACCACGCTTACATCATTCCTTCTAACGAAGCTTCCATATTCGTTTTACTTCTATCCTGCTCTCTCTTATTTCTGTTTCATTTTAAGTTGCCCTGGGAGATGATTTTTTTCCCCTTTCTTTTTTTAAGCTTAACGGCTGATGTAAAATGACAAGCCATTTTTAAAAGAGTAAATACAGGGAGTATTAAGAACCGCAGAAAGCGGCGGAAGCAAATGCTGAGGGATAATATCCGTCACAGCCAAAAATGGATATTGGGGGGGGGGGTTGAAAATAAAAAGTAAAATAGCTTTAGGAACATGCAAGAAGGCTGGAAGGCAAATATTTAAGAAGTGTCAGCAGAGCACCAGAAACATATCAGATCTGATTCTGACTCTTCGGCTACCCTGAGGCCTTTCACATAATCCACAACTCCAAGCTTTCTCTCTCTCTCTCTCTCTCTCTGCTTAAGTTCAGAAATGGGTGATTCACAGGATGACTGTAAAATTTACCCTTGTGCTGACAAGATGCTGCCTTGGCAAAGTCTTGATCTCTACAGAGCTCCTGCACCATTCCCAGGCCTTCACCAAGGTCTGTGCAGGAGAATTTCCCTGGGCCTTCTGCCCTGTGGATCAGATCTCGCCACCTCACATCCCTCACCAGCCTGCAAAATGCTCCGGCTCTCCTGGGAAAGGTGACTTTCTCAGAGTCAGGATTTTGCTCCCTACAGACCAGTGTTGTGGTCCTTCTCCCAGCTCAGCCTGAAGATCCCAGAGATGGCAACCCGGAAGCCCTCCCACTGATCTTCCTCAAATCACAAGAGCCCAGAAGACAAAAGGCCCAATGAGTTCAATCCGCTGTGAAGGTCCCAACCTTTTCCCCAGGAGCGCCAAGGAGTCTCTCCAAGAACGGGGGGGGGGATCTTCCAGATCCTAACAAAACCACCCATCTGCCCCCATCTGGCCCGAGGGCTGAGTTGCCTTTCTCTTCCTCCCAGGTGGAGCGATCGGAGGTCATCAAAAGCAACCTGAACCCCATCTTTGCCAAGGTCTTCATGGTCGACTATTACTTCGAGGAGGTGCAGAAGCTGCGCTTTGAAGTCTATGACATTCATGGCCACAGCAGCATCGGGACCCACGACGATGACTTCTTGGGGGGGATGGAATGCACCGTGGGCCAGGTAAGGGGCAGCCGGCAGGTTGGCCCTCAGAGGGCTCTGGCACACCGCAAGATCTCAGGGGCAACACGTCACCAGCCATGTCATTATCTGCAACCACATAGTATCTGGGAGGATGGCAGGGCAGCAGAATTCGGTTTCAAAAGCGACTGCTTAAAAACAGCAACAAAGCCACTTTACACGGAGTAACATTTCCCAATTAATTTCCAGTTACTACTTTTAAAGGGCATTTAAAGGCACCTTAGAGGCCTTTGGGTGAACTTTTTCCAGGGTAGCAGCTTCCTCTCCCCGTTCCCTAAGTGGGTTTTCCAAGCAATGGAACAGAAACCAGCAGCCAGCCATGTCACAAGTTACTTTCCCGGCACGGCCACCGGTAGTCTGATTTAATTTTCAAGCATCCTAAGCAGGAATGGGGAGGCACGCATTCTTTCTGAAAAGCAAGTTTACAAGCTTGGCATGGGGGGTGGGGGGGGAAACCGTTCTCTTTTTCTCTGAGAGAGAACAGAGAGGAAGAGACTGCAAGAGAGGGAGAGGGACTGAGATGGGGAGCAAAGGGAGGGGAGCTCGGCAAGGAGCAATTTGGGAGCCCTTAGAGAAGCTGGCTGTTCCCTGGCCGCCGGCAAGAAGCTCATCGACAGCAATTCCCCTTCAAAGGGAGGCGGCGCACAAGCCCAGAGCGCACCACCGATGCCGATGCGCCTGCCTTCCCGATTCGGGGGCAGGTAATTGCCGGTGATTGTCAGCCACCTGTGGTTTCGCGGGCGGCTTGTGCGCCGCAGGAGCGGTGATGAGCCCATCTTCTGAGGAGCAGGAGGGGGACGGGAGGTGATGCGCAGCTCCCTCTGATCTGCAAGTGGTGTCTCTCCCTCTTCCCCCCCCTCCATTATTCCCGGAGCACTGCCACGGGCACACACATACCCCTGTCGGGCAGAGGTGCCGGCTGCCAAGCACTCCTTCCACACAGGCATTCCCTCTGCGGAGAATCTCGCCTGAAACCCAGAGGAGCTGCTGCCCGTTGGGGTGGGCGTTGCAGGACCAGATGGATCATAGGGGTCACGGTCAGGACGGGGTTGCCATGCCCTGTTTTAGGGAAAGGCTTCCGTCCCCTGGTACCTCCAGAGTCAGCCAGAGAAGGTCCTGCTGGAAGGCCTACAGACTTGCCTCCCATCAGCCAAACAATGTCTACCAGACCAGGCGCGGGGGGGGGGGCAGAACGGGCCAAGGAGCCTGACCCGATGCCATCGCTGCCTGTGAAGCCCAGCACAATGCTCCCTGCACGGCTTCAGAAATACATTTTTGGATGGTGGCTTCCAGAATCCTGCAACCAGCCAGGACGGCCCTGCAGGAATGGTGGGCTGCCTCATTTACCGGTAAAATCATCCTGGCAGGGGTCACTTCCAGAAATGGAAGAGTTCCCCTCCCCATCTCATGCCCCCCCCATGGCTTCTCCAAGATGAAAGGGATCCCCGGGACCCTTGGGCGGGGCTCGGACATTCTCAGTTTCTGGAAAATGGCCACCACTAATGATGTCATCTGCCTTCTGCGGCATCACTTCCGGTAACAGGATCTCAGCTCATGTTTGATCTTTTTCGGTTCTTCCTGGCAGATCGTGGCCCAGAAACGGGTGACCAAGCCTCTGTTCCTCAAATACGGGAAGTACGCGGGCAAGTCCACCATTACCGTGAGTGGCCCACCCCCTCCCATCTCGCTGTGACATGACCCCCGACGTGGCCCCTCGGAAGCATCCTTCTGGCCTCATGAGCATTCTCCCTGAACGAGTCTCCTTTCCACCCAATAGGTGACGTCGGAGGAGATTTCTGGAGATAATGGCTTCGTGGAGCTGTTCTTCCGGGCGAAGAAGCTGGACGACAAGGTAGCCCAAGCAACCTAGCCCTCCCTGGGGGAAGGGAGCCCGGGGGCCAAGTCTGAACCCTGGCAGACCTCCAGGTCCATTTCTTTTATTTCTTAAGTGCCGTCTTTTGCCCAAGTAACTCACAGTAAGAGTACGGATGGTCTGCTCCCATAAGCACACACTCTACCTTTGCAACAACCCTGTGAGGTAGGGACTGGCCCCAAAGCAGCAGGTGAGCTCCACAGCTAAGGGGAGTGGGGGGGGGGCTAAACTCTCTTCTCCCTGACCCTAGTCTGACACACTAGCCATTACACCGCCCTGCCTCTCTCTTGGAAGAACCAGGGTTGGGAGAAGCCAGCCTTCCGACAGGGAGATCATTGGTGTCTTTCCCCTGTCTCTCCACAGGATCTCTTCAGCAAATCAGATCCCTTTCTGGAGATCTACCGGATCAATGATGATGGGAGTGAACAACTGGTGCACCGCACTGAGGTAAAAGTCTCCAAGCCAGGTCAAAACATAGGACCATCCCCACCCCCAACCCTTTGCCCCAGAATCTGGCAAAGGTCTTTCTGCAGACTGCAAGTCCCAAACTCCACCACCCCAAAGGGCCAGGGGCCATGCTGGCAGAAAAAGGGGGGGGAATCTGAGCGGGATGCTGGTTTCCTCATGTCCCTGGTCCTCTTTATGGGCTCCAGGCCCCCAAATATTGGGGAACCATCAGATAGGAAATTGGGGAACCATTTATTTTTTTAATCCCCTCTCGCAGATCTGAGAGGCTTCTGGAATATGATTTCAGGTTTTTTGTGAGGGAAGGAATGTCTTGTCCAAATAGTAGAGAAATATGTAGAAAGCCACATATCCAAAGGAACGTGAGATCACGTTGTAAACTTTAATCAAGAAAAACCAAGAAGACCACCGTTAAGTTGGGGTTTTTGATACCATACTGTATACGTACTAAAAGGCCACGGTGGGTGGTCCATATGAACAGCCACGAAATGTTGAAACAGAGGACCTGGCAGTTGCACATAAATGAAACCCTTCAGAGTTATCACAAGAAACGGATGCCTCATTTCTCAGAGGACCGGCTTTTTATAACCGCTTCATAGTCGCGAACAACATGAGGAACAGCATGAAATAATCAGGACCGAACAGCAAGATAATAACAGCAGTAACAGAGAGAGGCCCCACGCGTGGAAAGCAGTCAAACCAGAGCAGCTTATATAAATGGGGTATATGAGTGGTGGCCAGGGAGGGGGGAGAGGAAGAGAGAGACAGATGGACAGACCACAAAAGGACGCCAGCCTCCCACCTCTGGAAGACAGGAATACGCACACACCCACCTCAGACATGGCTTTGTAGAGGGGATCAATGCTGTTCTTCTGCCTGTGCTTCCTAGTTTGTCAAGAACAACCTGAGTCCCGTCTGGGAGCCCTTCAAAGTTTCTCTGAATAGTCTGTGCAGTTGCGAAGACAAGCGGAAGCTGAGGGTAAGAGAAGGGGCATGGGGGGGGGCTGGGTGAAGGGACGTGGCTGCACCATTCACTAGACAAGGGGAGTGGGGAAAAAGCACGGGGTTGCACCCCCGGCCCATCTAGCAGCAGGATTGGGGGGGGATGGGACACGACATGCTCAGAGGCCCTGACTGCATTTTTTTTAAGGTGGTTTTCCAAGCTCTGGCATGAACCGACTAGCTCTCTCCCTTGCTTCCCTTTCTGATTTCGGAAGCTGAGCAAGGTCAGGGTTGGTTAACATTTCCCAGGATGAGAGACCACCCAGGAAATGCCAGATGTTTCCAGGCACAGCTGGGGGAAAAAAAGCCCTGCTTGAAACCAGGAGAGCTGCAGCTGCCAGCCAGAGCGGTTAATATTGAACCCAGAGGGACGGAAGATCAGGCTCGACAGAAGGCCGCTTCTGGAGTCCCTAAGGGCCCTTCTCTTTGTCTGCAGTGCATCGTCTTCGACTACGACTCCAGAGGCAAACACGACTTCATCGGAGAGTTTTACACAACCTTCGAGGAGATGCAGAAAGCCCAGGGGGGTAACAAGGTAGGGGTGCAGAGAGAAGGGAGAGAGGGGTCCCACCTCCCCTGACCTCCCCTCTCTGCTTATTTCTAACTTGGTGGGTGGTGGGGGGAGAGAAACCCATGACTAGCAGATAAGGGACCCCCCTGGCCACTTGTGGGGGTTGACGGTAGAGTCCTCCAGGAGCAAGGGAAGGGTCTGTTTTCTCTGAATAGCAGATGTGGCTGAACCCAGGAAAGGAGAGGGTGGCCCCCCGTATCGGTTCTCCTTCACTCTCCCTCTTTTGGTCTTCCTATCTATTTATTTGCTTCATTGATTTGTTATATCCATCTGTGCCTGGCAGTGACATGCTGTGGGAGGGCCCAGGTGTTTCAAGGGAGGCTTCCGTCATTCCTAGACGCACACCTTGGGACTCAAGGTGGACGCACCTTTTTCCCAGCAGGGGGCACAGGGAACCTCCTGGCACCTTTCCACCCCTCCCCACACCCTGCCTCCCACCTCTCTGTTTGCCCCCAAACCAGATCCAGTGGGACTGCATGAACCCCAAATACAAGCTGAAGAAGCGGAATTACAAGAATTCAGGCACTGTCATTCTCCTGGACCTAAAGGTGAGCCTGGGACGAGCACAAAGGTGCCCTCCCCCCCCGGCAGAGCCTGGCATTGGAGGGGGGGAAGGGGGCAGCCTGGGGAGTAGCAGGATATCTCCTTCAACCCACCCGAAGCAGGGGGTGAGCGTCCCTGTCCAGTCGCAACACCTGATTTTTCAGCAGAGCCCGGCACTCACAGTAAAATGATGGAAGAGGGGAGCTGGAGGGTCTCAAAAGTGTCTGCAGTTCCTACAGTTGGATGGTAGATATACTTTGCTCACTTGCTTGTTTGTTTTGGAAGATCCACAGGGTCTACTCGTTCCTCGATTACATCATGGGCGGCTGCCAGATCCACTTCACGGTGAGTCGCACCCCCTGCCTCTTCCATTGGGTGGCCAAAGGGCGGCCGGCGCTTCAGAAGCAGGTAACCCAAAGTGGCTGCCATTGGTTCAGAAAAACATGCCTGGCTTTGCACGAGAGCGTCCCGCCCGGCGGCTGGGGTGGTCTTCTTTGGGATGTTCTGAATGGGGTCTGCCTGGCTTATATTTCAATGCCTGCAGGATCTCGAGCCTGAGATCAGACTGCCACGGGGGGTGTCTGCTCCTCTGCAGCCTGTGCTTTGGCAGGTGTAACAAGCGTGGCCACACAATCACAGGAGACGGCATGTGTTCTGGGGAAAGGGTGCAAATTTGCCTCATGGAGGCAAATTCAGAAATGTTTTAAAAGGATTGAAACAGAATTATAAGCTATCTCACCCCAGTGAAGAAGGTGGTGGCCAGCTGACTTCCACGCCCACTGCTGAGGCAACAAACGCTGCCTGGCTTCCAGGATCCAGGTCCCTTCCCAGAATAAGGCTCTTTTCCCTTCCTCGAGATTTGGAAGGGGCAGCTTTTCCAAGAGAGTCGTGTGCTATCAAGTTGATTCTGTCTTCGGGTGACCCAGGCTAGGATGTCTTACCACTAAAATACTCAGAAGTGGCTTCCTCCTTTCCCTTCTTCTGGGGAATGCTCTGGAAGTGTGCAGCTGGCCCCAAGCCACCCAGGCTTTTACTGGTCCACACAGGGGGGAATTGAACTCCCAGCCTCTGGATCTGCCGCCTCGTGTTCTTTCTCATTAAGCGACCAAGCCAGCAAGAATGCCTGCAAAAATCACGACTACTTTTCAGCAGGCTTTCAAACAGAGGCCTGTCCAGTGCAAAGGAGGACCCCCTCAATCGCCGAATGTCCGAATCGATCCCAACCTTGGGCCCATGGACTTGCTTGCTTTTGTTCTCTTCTTGCAAAAGCTGCATTCAGTTCCCGTGCTCTGTCTCCCCAAAGTCAGATCCCAGAAACGGTTCTTCTGAAGGATAACTCCCAGAATCCCCCCTGCTCTGCCAGCAAGGAAATAAGCCATGCATACGGGGAATTCCAGGAGCTGTGATCCCAAGAGAATAAGATACCTCCAAGTTGTGCCTGAAACCTTAGGTTTGGGGCAAATCTTTGGAAAAACAAGCACTACTCATCCCATAATTCCCCCAGCCAACCCGCCACTGTGGATTCTGGATGCTGCTGTCCTGCAAAGTGACATTGCCAAGCACTGCCCAAGGCCTTTGGGATGGATCCAGGCACAGACAGAGAGCCTCTCCCTCCCTCCCTCCACCCGCCCTCCCCCTGTCTCGCTGCCAGACCCCTGTTCTGTGGCTTTGCACAGATTTTTCTCCTTCGACAACAACCAGCACCCAGATTGCGTTTGGAAAGAGCACCTCCTTCTTGGAGTGAGTCAGATCCCAGAACATGCAAGGAACAGATTGCTGGCACCCAGCCTCGCCCGTTCGCTGGCACACGAGCTGGGAACGGTCCCAGCACCGAGGCGCCCAGTCGGGGAGGGGTGTGTGTGGGGAGTCGGCAACACCCGCTGCTTGACTTTTAAGGGGGGGGGATTGTGAGGCACAAAGGGGAGGGGGCAGCAGGAGGCTGTAGCCAGCAAGGCTCTCAAAGCAGAGTAAACAAGAAACTCTGCCCAGATGGCATTCTCCCCTAAGTGCCTCTTGCCATCCTTTCAGGCTCTGGGCCCGATGCTGAGCCCTGGATTTCACAGGAGGGATCCATCCAGAGAATTAACAGAGCGGCAAAAAAGGGGGGGGGTCAAGCAGAGAAGGGCCTCCTTGCTCAGCCGTGCATTCACTCAGCTTCCTCCTTGCATCCACCATCAGCAAAGTAGTCAGCTTGGATCAAAGGCCAAAGCTTCCGGGGTGGGGTAAAGGTGTTTGATTAAACCGGGCCGGGCAAAGAAGGATGCCCTCCTCCTGATTTTGTTGGATCACAATCCCCGTCATCCCCGGCCGGCTTAGCGCAAAATGAGAAACGCGGCTGCCCAAATTCTGGAGGGCTTTGCTGCCCAGCTTTGAACGGAACACCCTCCGGGTTCTGTCCAAAACTGGCCGGAGTGGGGATGGTGTGAGAATCGTTGCGTGGGGAGGGGCTCTTCAGTCTTGCCGGCCGGTGTGGGGGAGGCATTGCCTCCTCTTGAGGAGGTTGTCCTCCTTCTCCTCCTCCTCGTGTTGCTTCCGATCCTGACGCCTCTGTCTGCGGAACGAAGCCGAGCGCTTTCAGCCGGAGGAGCCCCGCCGCCGGCTGCAAAAGACTCGCTGGAAGCCAAGCAGGAAAGGAGCGCCTTGCTCAGCCGAGAGAGGGTCTCGCCTTCTGGGCTTCCCTGTCAAGAGTTCGGCGACCCGAGCAGCAAGTGCCACTCTTGCCCTCAAGCAGTGCCAGACAGAAGTGTGTGTGTGTGTGTGTGTGGAAGCCCTCTCCACAATGCGTTTCCATGGGAACTAGTTTTGAGGCCTTTCCCACCCTGACACGTCTGGATGGAGAGGACATCCCAGGAAAGAGGCAGACCTCCTTCCACCCTTGCAGTGACGGAGGCTGCCATCCAAGGGTCCCTGGGGGTGGATATTGGGGGGGGGGAGAGAGAAGGAGGAAGAGGCAGGGGAGGGAAAAGCTCGGCTTTGCGACTCTCTGGTGGCATCTCTCTTTAAACCTGGCACGGTGCAGACGCACGGCTTCTGCTGCCTGCTAGACAAGAGTGTTTAAAGAAGGGGTGAGGAACCTTTGGCCCTGATGTGGAATCCGGCCCTCCTGGGGTCCAAGTCTGCCCCACCCTCCGTGAAACGGCCACACCTTCTCCATGCCATCGCTGTTTGGTCCATCTTGTTGTCACCTACAAATGAGTCTATTTCTGTTTATGTACTGCTCTACCTCATGTTATAAGGAGCATTTATGATTAATATTTCCTTCCTTCCTTCCTTCCTTCCCTCTTTTTCCTCCTTTCCCTCCACCATCCTCAGCAACCTTTCGGATGGTGGGCAGAGAGACAGTCCGTTCACAAACCATTCCACCCATTATATTACTTTCTCAGTGGCCTTTATTTCCGGGGCTAGATGGCCATGGAAACCGGGCCTTTCCTTCCAGGATCACCAATACCTATTGTGCAGCTCAGCTACTGCCAGGAGGAGCGTTAAGCCACCAGAAGCTGGCATGATGGCTACGGAAACCGGGCCTTTCCTTCCAGGATCAGCTTTGGCTTCCCCGGGGGAGTTTCCATGTCCAAGTGAACATTTGAACCCAGGTCTCCTGAGTCTTAGTCCGCCCCTCTATCCGCTACACCACACCGGGGACCCCCCCCTCTTGACAGCTCGCCTTCTCTCCCCAGGTGGCCATTGACTTCACAGCCTCCAACGGAGACCCCCGGAACAGCTGCTCCCTCCATTACATCAACCCCTACCAACCCAACGAGTACCTGAAAGCTCTGGTGGCTGTCGGAGAGATTTGCCAAGACTATGACAGGTGAGGGAAGGGGATCCTCTCGCCCTCCTCTGGCTCAACTGGTCTTGCCACCGGAGGCGCCCTCTCACACCCCCTGCCCCTTCCTCTCCAGTCCAGAGGGAGGCTCTCTGGGTTGGCAGGAGGGCAAAAAAACCAGCCCCATTCTTGAGAAGAAGATCAGAGTCGATTTGGGTGAAGGGTTGGTACCTTCCTACCTCCCCAACAAGCCAATGGAGGTTTGGGCAAAGGGAAGGGGCTCAACTGTTTGGTTTCCAACACTGAGAAGAAGATCAGAGTCGATTTGGGTGAAGGGTTGGTACCTTCCTACCTCCCCAACAAGCCAGTGGAGGTTTGGGCAAAGGGAAGGGGCTCAACACCCTTCCTCGGAACACCTTCCACTTTTACACGAAACTGTGCCCAGCACAGCGAAACAACCTCTGTGTGCATGTTGAGACCTTGATTTTCTGTTTCTCCACAGTGATAAGAAATTCTCTGCCTTAGGCTTTGGAGCCAGGATCCCACCAAACTATGAGGTAAGCCTGTGTGAAACTGAGACTGAGAGCCAGTATGGCAATTGTCTGGGCTGGGCTGGTGGCTTCAAGGATGGGAATGTCTGACTAACGAGGTAACAATGTGAAGAAAATCTTCAATGCATTCTTCAGTTTCAGCTGCCTCAAGACAAGGAGAAAACTTGATGGGGAATTTTATGGCCCCAGGAGACTCACAACGATCTAACACAGGAGGGAGGAACATCATAACAATGGGCTGATTGTCAAACAAGGCGTAAACAAGGCTTCTTCTTTAAAAATCATTGCAAACAAAGAAGCCACCATGTTTATTTGTTGCATTTTATTTCTGTAGGGTTTTTTTCTTTTGCAAAAATGATCCTCTGCAACACAACCACCCTCCTTTGAGAGTTCAAAGTAGGGGATGGGAAAAAGAATTCTGCAGTGTCCTTTACATACCTGTTGCTTGCTGCAAAACATGGCAAGTAAAGGAAGCCTGTTTGAACCAATCAGACTTACAGGGTGATGATGGACTGACCAGATCCGCACAGGTTCAATGGGCCTACTCTAGTGCAACTCACTATGCTAAGCAATGGGAATTTTTGCCAAAAACTCTACTCTACCCATCTTTAGGGTGCCGAGCCAGGCTGAGCGATCCTGCTTTCTGAGGCAGGAAGAGAAGTTCACCCGGTACCCAGTGGCTGCCCTTCCTCCCTTCCCCAGCTAATGAAGGCTGGTAGCTATCCACCCCGAAAGGGAGGGGCCACTCTCAGAGCGAAGCAGAACTAGCTTTCCTGCAAGGTGGTAACAACCGGGCTCGCACGCTGGAAAGGTCCGCTGGTTCACTTCCACCCTCTGAATCTCAGGGCAATCCCTGTGGAACTCGGGTCCTCCCCTCACTCTACATTGTGCTGGGTTGCCAATCCCTTCCTTCCCCTGTCCGCCCCACACACACACATACACACACACCCCTGCCAGTCCTTCCACCCTGCAGAGATGACAGCTCGACACATCCTGGAACAGCAGTCCCCACCCCCAGCCTGTCCATCCAGTTGATGATTTGCCAGCAGGGAAGCCTCCTCCTCCTCCCTCCGTGCCATTATTTCCATGGGCAAGGTGGGGCTTGGCGGGGGCGGGGAGGATCCCCCACAGAGGAACCTAATGGGCTCGTGGTGGGGCAAAGTGCCAAGAGGGGTGATGGAGCTCGGTGCCAAGATGCCCGGCTGCAGGGCATACGCTGATTCCCCGGTGGGCGAAGGAAAGGGAAGGAGGCGTCTCTCTTATTCATCCCGGATGTCTGCCTTTCTTGCAACAGGTCTCCCATGACTTTGCCATTAACTTCAATCCCAGCGACGATGAATGCGAAGGTAGGTGGGTGCCGAGAGTAACTCCTTCTTCCCTCCCCATGCTGTGAACCCCAGCTTGGGCCCCTCTTTGACTCTGTTTTGGAAAATACCCACAACATAGGCCTTTCCACCCTTTGACAGAAACAGAAGAAACTGCCCCAGTAGGGTCAGCTCTGTCCGGCAGCATTGGCCATGAATGATTTCAGCCCAGGAGTCCTTCGTAGCTCGACCAGGAGATACCCTGGCCGTTCCCCATCTGAGACCTAACCAATCCAGACCCTATTTAGCTTCCAAAATCAGGCAAGATTGGGCACATTCAGGAGGACACGGCCAAGATGACCTACGAGCCAGCCTTCTGCAAAGCCAGGGCTTTGATCCATTTCTGCCCAGTTTTGTCAGCTTGGATTGGCAGCTACAGCTGTCTTTCTTAGCCTAATTCCAGGAGCTGAGCACAGGATGTTAGGGATGTAAAGTATGTCCCCTACTAATGAGCTACAGTGCCCACCACCCAGCCCGCAACCCCAGTTCACTGAGAATCATTCCCTCTGGAGCATCCATAAAGGCAAGAGGTTTACGACTGCATTCAAGGATTGGTAGCTTCAGGCCTCAATTATGGTCATTTCTGGTTAGACAGAAGGGTGCCATCTAATTATTTATATTGGCTGAATGACACACACACACCCCAAGAAAAGCCCTCACCCCAGCTGTTCCATGGTGGAAAGGGCACCAGCCTCACCCTAGGGTCTGCCAAAGCCAAGTGGCCTCACTCTCGACCACATCTTGTGGTCATCAGCATTTAATCCTGAGCTTCGCCTTGCCTTGCCAGGGATCCAGGGCGTGGTGGAGTCCTACCAGAACTGCTTGCCCAAGATACAGCTCTATGGGCCCACCAACGTGGCACCCATCATCTCCAAGGTAGCCAAACTAGCCGCTGAAGAGGAGAAAACCAAGGAAGCTTCAGTAAGTGAGCCCAATTTGGCTGAGCTTTGGGTGGCGAGGCCGTGCGTAGGTCTGCACTTCCAGGTTTTGCCTCCATCTGCTGAAATCTGGACCTAGGAAGAAGCTCCCTTTTTTGGACTGGGAGACGTAGTCCAAAAATGGTCACTTTTCCAAGCTTTGCAAGGCATGTTGTGGTGAATCTCAATGGAACCTACATAGGTCCCTGCCTTCCACAGAGTCTGATCCATGGCCCATGAAGGCCAGTACTACCAACTCTGGCTGGAAGCAGTAGCCAGAGGTGCCTGCAGAGGGTTGAACTGTGGTTCTTCCTCGGGAAAAGCCTGTGTTGTGTCACTGAGTGAGTCCCTGCAAATGGCCTGTTGGAAGGGCTGCCATGATGGGGCGGGTGGGGAGCTGGAAGGCAGGACTGCTCGGCCAGCATCATGTTTTATCTATTTGTCTCATTGACGGGCTGCCGTTCTCCTGAGAAGGGAGCGCAAGATGGCTCACAACGTTTCCTACATTATGAACAATTGAACTATAATAGTAATTCAAAGACAACTAATGACTAAAACATTGAAAACTTTAAAAAGAACTATTTTAACTTTTAAACAAATAATAAAATGAAAACAGCATTCAGAGAACGATTGTTTAAAAGCCTGCCTGAAAAGGAGGGTCTTCAAGAATAGAAGGGAAGGGGCAAAACTGACCCACCGTAGGGAGAGCATCCCACAGCCAGGGAGCAGACGCGGGGGAGACCCTCGCCCGGGCCCCCCTCCGCTGTTCCTGCACCAGCCATGGGACCGAGAGGAGGGCCTCCTTCAGTGGTCTTAATTAAGAGCCGAGAAGGCTCATGGGAGCAGAGACATGCATGCATGAAAGCGCTGGACAGGCTTAAGGGGACTTTCAACTAAATTCTCTTTCATTATTTACCCTCGCCAAGTGTTTGGAGACCGAGGGACACGCCGGTTCTCCCTTCTCTTGGGATCCTGTCAGATCTTTGCTCAGTAGATGCCTGAAAACTTCACTCTGGAGCCTATCAACTAATGACAGTGGATAATGCGGTCATTGCAGGCCCTTTTGCTATGGAGAGGGAGGGGGAGCAGCAAAGAGCCAGCGGGGAAGTGGAAGAGGATCTGGGAACCGTGTTCTCGCTGGCTTGGCACGAGGGCCTTGGCATTCTGAGGTGGGCAGCCAGAGGAGACTGCGGAAAGGAGCATGGGGCATGACAGGAGGGCACAGCGATCCTTTGCCTCAGCTGGCCCAGGGTTATATTCGTGCCCCACAATTCTTTGATTTCTTCCGGTGCTGCGTCATTATGCCCTGGTTGGTGATCAGCAACCCGGAAGCTGGAAATGGTCCAGTTTTTTCATTACGCTCAAAAACGAAAGTTGGAAAGCAAATAGAAAACATAAGCTGTTGCACAAATAGGATCACTTCCTTCTCCCACATTAGGTCCTCGCTAGCATTCCTAAAGTAACTGGTTACAGGTAACTACATCCCCTGTGACTAGCTACATCCAGGCTCTGGGGAGAGTAGGCAGCAGGAATGACGGCTGGTCCAAACAGCCTGGAAAAAAAAAACAACCTAAAAAAAAAGCAAGAAAGGAACGGGCGTAGCTCTTTGGCTTTATGGTATTGAGGAGCCATGGTCCAGATTCTTGCCAGCATTATTTTGGGATTTGGTGTGGTGAGAAGTTACATTCCCAAGCTCTGATTCTTGGAGACATGCCAGGGTTGGACGTCAAGGGGGAGAGGCAGTCATTCTCCCGTCTTGACCTCCCCAACCCAACGCAACCCAACTCAACGCAACCCAACCCACCCTCAACCACGTGTTTCTTCTCCTCATCAGCAATACTTCATCCTGCTGATCCTGACGGATGGCGTGGTGACCGACATGGCCGACACGCGGGAGGCCATTGTCCGGGCCTCGTACCTCCCCATGTCCATCATCATCGTGGGGGTGGGCAACGCGGACTTCACTGACATGCAGATCTTGGACGGGGACGATGGGGTCCTGCGCTCCCCCAAGGGCGAGCCTGCCCTCCGTGACATCGTGCAGTTTGTCCCCTTCCGTGAGTTCAAGAACGTAAGTCTCCCTCTGAACCCTGAACGCAACCTTTCCCCCCCCCGCCCGCCTGCCCCCCATGATGCAGACATCCTCACCTCCCTGGTTTGAATTCCCTGCACCCAAGTCCTGGGATGTGGAACCACCAAGCAGAAACTCTGCTTTCTTTGTCCCAAGTGAAAAAGAGAATGCAGTTTATTTTTGCCCAAATGAGAGCTTGCTCTGCAATAACAAGAATAATCTTAGAACTGCAGAGCTGGAAGGGACCCTAAGGGTCATCTAGTCTAGCCCCTATCAAGGAGACCCTATGGGGGAATCAAACTCCCAACCTCTGGCTCCACAGCCAGAGACGTCAACCACAGGGATGTGAGGAACCGGCCAGCCCAGGAAGCTGGTCAGCCAAGAGGGCTGGGTGTCAGGCCAGGGAGGGCTTCCTGGAGATTCTCCTCCACCCTCTCTACCTCTTGCACACCAGCCGGCAGGCAGGAGAGGAAAATCCATCGCTGGGTATTTCTGGCAGCCCAAGACGATCCCTGGCCATGGCGAAGGCTTAATTGGGTTTGATTGTCAGTAATTTAGGCCTTGGGAGACAAGCTGTCTGTTGCTCAGCCTGAGAGCTGTGAAACGAGATTAACCCTTTGGTCTCTGGTGCCAGAAGCGCCGAGAAGTGACAGAAGCTGTTAAGCAAAGACAGCGAGATAATCCTGGACCGAACCTTCTCCGTGGAATGGAAGAGAGGGGGCATCTCTGTGCCGGTGTGTCTGTGTGAAAGAGCTTTCCAAAGCTATAAGGACACCGCATTGGGAAAATGGAAAACGGGACTTTGCAACATAAGCCAGGGGTCCTTGGCCGCTGGGGCCCATGACCCATTTATTGTGGGGGCTTCCAGCTGCACCAGCGACGGGTGAGGAGGCCCTCACCAACCCTTAGGTGCCTCTGAGGTGGAAAAATCTCCTTGACTGAGCCAGGGCTGCTCGGTTTTGCATTTGCACATGCTCAGAGGCCCTGGGTTATCATTGCACACATCATGCAGGAAGAACAGGCACCAAAGCTGCGGCTCAGGTTTTAAAAACGTGGTCCCTAAGCGAGCCTCCACGCCTCTCCCTGCTCTCCACATGGAGAGAATTCATCTCGGCTTCAGGAACGGAAACGTGGCCCCATCCTGGACAGGTGGGATAATGGGGGGGAAGGGTGCCTTTCTGGAGAGCGAGCAAAAGCCCCCCACTCACGGCTCCCCCTTCCTTTGCCTTCCAGGCCTCCCCGACGGCGCTGGCCAAGTGCGTGTTGGCCGAGGTCCCCAAGCAGGTGGTGGAGTATTACAGCTACAAAGCCTTGGCACCCCGCTCCTCGAAAGGAGGCACACCAGACTCAACCTTGAACTCACCTCAGTGAGGAGACCTTCCCCTTCTGGGGCTCCGACCACATTGTCTGTCTTCCCTTCATTTGCCAACTTATCCCTCCCCCCCCATGAGATGATGATGGTGATGTGACGGAGAGAGGAAGGGGCAAAACCCAGCCAGAAATGCAAGGCTTGGGGGTAGAAGGCGGAGGTTCCTCTCCTGGCCACTGTCGACCAGCCGGTGCCATCCAAAAAATGTCGACCAGCCGGGGCCCTCTCATATCCCTCCTCAGTGACAGGAGAGGCTGGTGTTTGGCCCGGTGGAAGCAAGCGAGTTCTCTGGGGCATCGACCGCAAAGGGAAACCTCCCGGCAGAATGTACAGGACGGGGAAAAGCTTTTGTGGAAAGAAGACGACAGACCGGAAAATGTCTCAAGCCATAAGCAGAAGAATCCCGTTCATGTCTTGGAGACTGAGAGAAAGAGAGAGAGGGAGGGAGGGAGGGAGGGAAGGAGAGGGAGAGGAGGAGGAGGAAGTGGATAGACTCAGTTGCCTAGGAGGATGGCCAGTGCAGAGAGGAAGGTGGATCGACGAGTGCAGGAGATGACTCGGCTGTGCCCCGGGTGTCATTCCAGCATGCTCTTCCCCAAGAAGGGGAATCCAGGTGGAGGGAGACGACCTTCTGCCCCAGAATTCCCCCTCTTGGATAAAAATGCTCTGCAACCAACAGCTGCCTTTGCCTCCAAAAGGCTGACTCAATGGAAGAGAAGACATGAAGGAAGCAAAGCGGGTGCTGGGCACGACCAGAAAGGAGAGGGGCTCCAGGTACCCCCTCCGCCCCACCCTTCTCCACCAGGCTCAGAAGCCTAGATGTGGCTGGGGTCTGCGGACAGGCCTTTCCTGACTTTTTTGGTGGGGGGGAAGGGGGTTCTGTCCCCAACTTTGCAGATGGAGCTCATGCTTGTCTTGAACTGGAGAGGATCTGAGCTGTCTACAAGGTCTGTGCAAGATCCATGGAAGAACAATGAGAAGCCGTGAGGCACCTAGAAGACCCCCCCCCCTTGCAAGTTGGATTTGGCCCCATGCTTGGTGGTGGGCTGCAGCTGATACTCTCTGATTGCATCTAAAGAAATGGTTCAGAGTCCATGAAAACACAGGGACAGATAAAACTGGTCCATCTTTGTTGGTTCTGCCACAACAGGGTAACCCGGCTACCTCCCAGAACTGGTTCCATTGCTGGTTCTTTGCATTTCAAAGTGGGGGGGGGGGTAAACCTCCTTCCTTGGGCCTCAGAGTGAGCAGCCAACTCAAAATCTCTCACCTTCCGTCACAAGATGGCATAGACGGGGGCTCAGTTCCCCCTCCCGGAAACATGCGGGACATGATCAGAGTCCCAGCCATGTGGCTGCTGCACTTGTATCCATTTCACGGCCCCATCCTGTGCATGAATCGAGGTTCTTTCCCATGGGCGGGGGGCTTCTTGTCCAGTTCTGGCTCTTCCTCCGTCTGGTATGTGGTTGTCTTTCACTATGATGTCGTCTGCCTAAGGTTTGCATGACAAATCTGCTGTTTTTGATGTACCCAGGGAAGCAGCCAAATAAAAAAGAGACGTCATGTTCCCCCTTGCGCTCCGTGCCTTCTTGACTTTGCTGTTGTTGTTTAGTCCTTAAGTTGTGTCCAACTCTTCGTGACCCCATGGACCGGAGCACGCCAGGCCCTCCTATCTTCCACTGCCTCCCGGAGTTGTGTCAAATTCATTCTAGTAGCTTCGATGACCCTGTCCAACCATCTCGTCCTCGGTCGTCCCCTTCTTTTTGACTGGAGAGAGTTAATTGTCCTCAGAGCCAATCTGGGGTTAGCTGAGGTCAAGCCCTGTCACCTAAAGGCATAAGCCATTCAAGTTGTTCCTGGTGGGGACAGCTTTGTCCTCCCCCCCCCCCCCCGAATGGTAGCCACGAAGCATCTCAGCATTAGCTAAGAGACCCCTTCTTGGGATTCTGTGCAGTACCACAAAGCCTCCAGGGGCACATCTACTGGATTACGCAGCCCAGCCTTCCAGGAAATGACTGTTGGGATTTGCAGCAATAGGCTGCCAGCATGAATGTATCCTTACAATGATTACTTTAACTTTGGAAATCCTAAGGCCTCTTTCCTCAGCCCGGCCATGCTTGGGGGCAGGTGGGAATCAGTCCCCGAGCCTGACCCTCAATGCATGAGGAGGGCATCAGCTTAGTTTAAGGACTACATGACATTTCAGAGCTAACAGTATTAGAAATAAATTCCAGGGGTTGGGGGATTGGGTGGTTTGAGTCTCACACGAGGTGACACCGATATTCAGCTGCAATCATGCTGCTTTCATATACCTAGCTGTGTGTGTCAGATTATGACCCCCTTTTGCGTTATTGCGCCACGTGTCCTGCGTCCACCCAGGCCATTACTTTTTCTGGATCTGATGAGGCTCTGACTCTCTTTAGGCTGCTTTGCTTGAAATCCTGCTCCTTCGCTTTCTGTCCGTGGCGTGTCCTACAGAAGCAGCAATGGGATTGTCCTTTTCTCATGTGGTCACCATCTGGCTTCGACCAGTGACGCCAATGAGAGATGAAAAGCAGCTACTTTGTAATAGGAACAGAAAGCAGTGCCCATTCTTCGAAGGAACAGGCTTAAGAAAGCCCTGACAGCCATCCAGAGCTCATGAACAACTCTCATGCCTTGAGGGTTCTGGAAGTTGTGGTCCAAAAGTAACTTTTCTAAACTCTGGTATAATCGGTCAGCTTAAACTACCTTACAGAGTTGTTGTGATGATTAAATTGTGGTGGAGGGAGAGTGAGGAAGTCCTTTGAGCTTTTTGCAGGAAAGCAGAGTCCTAGATGTTGTTGTCATCGTCGTCGTTGTTGTTGTTGTCGTCATCATCATCATCATCATCATGATGTCCTGTGCAGAGCACATTGGGCAGAAAGTTTTCCCCAAAGACTCGATGGTTTGCAACATTTTCAGCTTCGTCCCAAGAATGATTAATGGTTTTGAGATCCCCCTTGAGTGTTCCTTGCCAGGTTTTTTCGGAGCTGGCCTTGTTTCCTCTTTCTTCTGAGAGGTCTCCACTGTCGTGCAGTTTCCAGGTGCCAATCTTTGGGCATGTGTGGGATGTGGCCAACAAATTGCATTTGATGTTCGTTCACAGTTGTCGACAGATGTTTCGAGTCTGATCTTTGTAGTACCGTGTTCCTCCGAAAATAAGACAGGGTCTTATATTAATTTTTGCTCAAAGAAAAACGCATTAGGGCTTATTTTCAGGGGATGTTTTATTTTTTTCATGTACAACCATCTACATTTATTCAAATACAGTCACATCATCTGGTTGCTGCACAAGGGTGGCAGGCAGGTTTCATTTAACTGGGGCTTATTTTTGGCGTAGGCCTTATATTACGAGCATCCTGAAAAATCATATTAGGGCTTATTTTCAAGTTAGGGCTTATTTTCAGAGAAACAGGGTATTTCTTCATTAGTGGTATGATCATGATATGAGACACAGAGGATTTTTCTAAGGCCATGTCAATGTAACACCTAGATAATTAAAACAGAGAGTAGGCCTTCCCCCACCCTAAACATTTACTGGACTTTTAGCTGGTAGCAGATCTATGGAATGGTGAGACCAAGCAAGCATCCCGCCCTCTCTGTATCTTCTCTCTGAGCACGCACGCACACCGTGACACACACCCAGCACTGGCTGCTGCAGAGCATCTCTCTTTCATGCATTACAGAATGCATTTTGATTTGTCTTGATTGCCTCACTCCTTCCCATTGCGTCTCAAAACTTCTTTAACAAAACCTCTCCTTCTCTGTGGCAGCCTGGAAATTGGGCACCGATTATTTTGTACGTGGCCCCTTTTGATTGCAGGCCTCCACAACGCCTTTGCAGGAGCATCAAGGGAGGAGAGAGCTGTAATTCAATCATCACTTCTGTGTGATTAAAACACTGCTTCCAAGACGTACAATGCCAAATGATGGAAGCATTAACACTCAGGGGGAACTTTGGACGCAATCGGAACAGAGGCATTGTCAGGATTCCTGTATCTTGTCACAGTTAGATAAAAGAATCAGAGAGCAGTGTGCGTGGGTCTGGGAGGGAGGGAGAAGTAGAATGCATTGCAGGCAACCTGTCTTACCTCTTTCAGTACCTTGGAGAGCGCTTACGAATTGACTCCTAGCCCTTCAGCACCATGGACAGAGGGAGAAATGTTATGGCTGCACTTTTCTTCTTGTGTGATCTCCAAAACATGTAAAAATAGGAGGCACCCTCAGTGTCCAGGTACAGGGCAAATGAGGGATCCACAAGCTGGCATCCTACACCTTGATTAATAATCATCCTGTGCCATCCAGTCAGGTCTTATCATGACCCATTTCAGGGTTTTCCAGGTAGAAAATACTCTGCGGTGGTTTTCCATTCCTTTCTTCTGGGGTGCCCTGAGGCTGTGCAACTGGGCCAAGGCCACCCAGGCTGGCTCTCCTGGCTGGAGGCACAGTGGGGAAGCAAACCCCCAACCTCTGGCTCTGCAGCCAGGTACTCTACAGTTGCTGAACTATCCGGCACCCCTTAAGTTGTTGCAAAGCCATGAAATGCAAGATTCAAATATTATCTTCCAGAAGGATAATCAGCAACTCTATATCCTGTATTTTCCACATCTGTTCTATGGCTATTCCATGTGGACCAATGATGAGAAACATCCCATTGCAAAGGGTCCTCAGTCTGTATCCCCCAAAGAGCGCAAAAAGAGAAGCAAGGCAACTGAGGACTAGCCTCTTGGATCCACCTGAAAAGTCCACTCAGTCTAGCATTCTCTCTTTCCACGGGAGCCGCCCAGAAATCACGGGGAAGCCAGTCATGATGATGATGATAACTCCTTTGATTTCACCCCAGGCTCATTGCCTCTCTTGAAGAAGGTGCGCTTCTTTCTAAGCAACCTGTGCTTCCGGTTTGTCTGGGACAGAACCTGGGCTTGTTGCAAACCCTGCCCAACCTGGACTTTTCCTGTGACAGAAATTTTCAGGTCCTGGTTGCTAAGGAGGCTTGCTTTGTAGATTCTTACCTTGGCAGCATGTTGGACTGTACAAAACTGTACAATTCAATGCTTCCATGAACGCCCACAGGGAGAGAGAGAGAGAGAGATTATCTCCCACCACAGAGGCCTGGGGACATCCTATCTGCCTGCAAAATAGCCTCAGAGTTGGATGTGCAAGACAACTGCAGCTCTCCCCCACCTGACCCCTCCTCCCTTCTCTCCCTCCCCTCTCCCCTCCCCTCCCCAGCCCTCAACAAAGGAGATGGGCTTTCACTACAAAACAGCTCTATTCAACAGGGACAAAGCGATTATTTCTGACTGTCGGGATAATTGCTCAAATTGTTCTAGCAATAAATGGGACTTGAAGCGAGAGACATTCATGCTGACGGGGATGAAGTTTGATGGGAAAGCACCTGCTTCAAAGATGTGGGCGTGCATGAGCCGGCGGCGGTAGAGCAAAATTGCAGAAGACAGAGATTTTGAAGCTCCCTGAGCCTGGCTTGGTTCAAGGGAGCCGTCTCTGCCTTAACAGCTGGTTCGCCATCCATGGTGTGGCCCATTTTCACAGAGGAGCAGTTCTGCTATGGCTTTCCACACCCGATGCTGCACATCCTCTGAGCCCCAAGATCTCTCAAGAAGCAAACAAGCATGTGGAAGGGAGAGTGGCTCAGGAGCAAAGCATCATGGGATTGGGGAGAGTTCATCTGGCATCCCCAAAAGATACAGAGTTAGCAACAGGCCTGTGCAACCGTATTGGCACCAGGAAGGAAGGGAAAGATGCTAGCTGGCCCTTCTTGTGATGCTCACGAATGGTTCACTCACTGCAGTATGTTGGTTGCACATTTATTAAAGATGGTGGATACAGGAAGGAAGCTGGGCAAGCTGTTTCAGCCTCTCTTTTCAGATAAGGTCTTGGGAACTTCATTCCAGTGA